GGAGGAGGAGCTCAAGGACGTGTCCAGCGATTGTCCCATCTCGGAGAGGATCTGCCCCTAGTCCGTGGAAGAGCTGCGCAGGTTCACAGTTCTGATCCAAACTCCTCGGACGTCTCGAACGAGAAAGCCACTTTGACGAGGGGTCGCCCTCCGCCCGTGTGACTGCTGCAGAATTCCGAACACCGGGCCATCGAACTCAAGAGCATGTGAAGCGAGAGCCGCATTTTGAAAACCACCCGCCCTCGATCCCTGTAGCGATTGGGGAGGAGGAGGAGGAAGAGGAGGAGGAGGAGGAGGAGGAGGAGGAGGAGGAGGAGGAGGAGGAGGAGGAGGAGGAAGAGGAGGAAGGAGGAGGAGGAGGAGGAGGAGGAGGAGGAGGAGGAGGAGGAGGAGGAGGAGGAGGAGGAGGGGGAGGAGGAGGAGGATGAGGCGGAGGAGGAGGAGGAGGAGGAGGCGGAGGAGGAGGAGGAGGAGGAGGAGGGAGGAGGGGGAACGCTACGGCGGCGTCGAGGCCCAAGGCCTCCCTGGGAGGGGCGGGGCCCTCGTCGCGCGGCAGGCCGACCACCGTGGGGGGGCTTCTGGTCGGCCGCGGCCGCCGCCGCCAGCCTCGCGGCGCCGGGGCCGCGGCGGAGGAGCCAGCGCCTGGTCGCGGGAGGGGGGGGGGGGGCGGCCTGCCAAAGCGTCGCCGTCGTCGGCGTCTGCGTCGCCGTCGACGACATCGTCGCGGTCGCCGTCGCCGTCGGCGTCGCCGTCCGCGGTCGTCCTCGTCGTCGTCGTTGTCGTCGTCGTCGTCGTCGTCGTCGTCTTCTTCTCGCGCCTGCTCTTGCTCCAAGCCTCCCTTCATCCTTCCCTTCCCCTCTTCCCTCTTCTCCTCCCTCCTCCCTCTTCCCTCCCGCTCCCCCCCTCCCTCCTTCCTCATCTCTCGTCCCTCCTCCCAACTCCCTCTTCTCTCCTCCCTCTTCCCTCCCCCTTTTCTCCTCCCTCCTCTCTCCCGGTCCCCCACCACCCCATCCTCGTGCTCCTGCTCCTGCTCCTGCTGCTGCTCCTGGCTCCTCGGCGAGCGGCTAAATTTTATAACGCCCGCACGGAACCAACTACGTGACGCGCAGTGTCCGCTACCTCCCTGTGCTCGCAAGGCTCCCAATGGACAGGCCTTCCCGTCACCGCGTGCCGGCCCTCCTCAGGGTGGGCCAGCGGCGGCGGCGACGACGACGGCCCCACCCAGCCTCTCCTGGGGTGAGGTCTGGCCAGGACCATCTCAAGGCGAATATGGACGTGACCACGGGGTCGCCCGCCAGAGGCTCAGAAGGGGTAGGAATACTTGCAAGACCCACCAAAGGCCGATGAGGAGGGTCGGGGGTGGGCGGGTGGAACCAACAACAGGGCAACCACCAGGACGGCCGTCTCCATCCATCGACCAACCTTTACCGGTCCATCTATGTATAGATCTCTAACTATCTTGATCTACCTGGCAGTCTAACGATCAATCGCTCTCACTATCTATCGATCGACCGATCAATCGATCTCGCCATGCATATATCGATCTTGCCATCAATCTAGCTGCCGATCTATCTATCTCTCTGTTTATCAGCCCCACTATCCATCTATCGATCTAACCATCAATAGCAATTCAACAATCTAGACAACTATCAAGGCAGCCATCGGGACAACTATTGGGACAACCTATATCGGTCTATTGATCGACTGGTCTCACTACACATTTACATGTATCACTATCTGCCTATCGATATTACTATTTATCTGTCGATGTCGCTATGTATCGGTTTATCGATCCTGTACTTTATCTGCCAGTCACACTTCTGTGTATATATATATACACACATAGATGTAGCAATCTCACGAGTCCCCTATCGATCACACTAGCACTATACTCTGTATCTGCCGATCTCACTGCAAATCAGTCAAACTACCATCGGGAGAATACTTAGGACAACCATCGGGACAAACATCGGGACAACCATCGAGACAACCATCGGAACAACCATCGGGTCAACCATCGGGACAACCACCAGGACGTCCACCAGGAGAAATACATCAAGACAACCATCGGGCAGCCTTTATCAGTCTATCTACCTATCGGCCCCATTTTCTGTCGATCTAAATATATACCGATCTATCGATCCCACTGGCTATCGATCGAACTCACTATCTTTCAACATCACTATCTATCGATCTTGCGATCTGTCTTCCGATCCTCGAGGCCTCCGCGGAGGCCTCCAGAGGCTTGAGAAAGGACACGAATCGTCAAAAACAACTCGATCCGATCGACGAAGACCGATCGACTGATCGAGGACCGATCGAACCGTCGTCCTCGAGAATCGATCGATCAAAGACAACCACGGCCGGCGCGGAATATAACCAGCCGCCCGCCAACCGGCCAAAAGAGGAGGAGGACGAGGAGGAAAAGGACCAGTACAAACCCAAGACTCGTCAACGACGTAGCAGAGAACCCTCCCTCCGACCTCCTACTTCATTTGCTCCTGCAATGATTCATGTCCGCTGACGGAAATGCCCCGTTGGACGACAACTGTTTGAAAACCCTGAACCGTGCCAAAAACACCATTCGTGGGACCTCGTCGCCACGAACCGACCTGATTGTTGCGTTTTGGCGATTCTGATTCGTGCTAAGAAAACATTCCTGAAACTTTAACACCGCGAATTAACGTAATTAACTGTTGCTCACTGGCATTCCGTCCTCGTGCCCAAACAATATTTCTGGGACGTTAACCAAACAAATCCTGGAAACTGCTGCAGCATCTTAATGCGGATATGCGCGGCGCTAGGGCGAGCACCGCATTCTGAAAAAAACGCCCTCCAGCCGTAAAATTATGGCAAATACGTAAAACCCACTGTGCGCGGTGCTGAGGCGAGAACCACATTTTGAAAAGGTGCCGCCCTTCATCCGTGAAGTTTTTATAACTTTGAAACCCCATATGCGCGGCGCGTGCGCGAGAACCGCATTTTGAAAGAGGACCTCTGTCCCCCTCTATCCGTGATTTTTTTGCAGTGTGAAAGCCCAATGCGCGCGGCGCTGAAGCGACTACCGCATTTTGAACACGGACGTTCCTCAATCCGTGGAGCTCTTGCAAGCAAAAATGCGCGCGGAACGCAAGCGAGAACCACATTTTGAAAACGACCCGCCCTCAAACCGTGGAGTTTTTGCGAAAAATCAAAACTACGCGGTGCTAGAACGAAAATCATAGTGAAAACGACCCGCCATCCATCCGTGAATTTGTTGCAAATTTCAAACTCAACGGTCACACGTGCTGATGAGGTGTCAGGCGAAACGCCCGGCCCGCCCCACCGACGCGTTTCGGGGTGCGATCGGGGAAATTTTGTCATAAAGAGGAGGAATGCAGGGCCACGACGACCACGGCAACGCCGCCGACGTCTGCGCCAGTGCCGAAGGCCGCCGAAGGCGGCCGCGCAGCCCTGAGTTCCGACGAGCAAAAACCGACATCGCGAGGCATCACGACGGGATCCCTATACCAAATATGTCCGCGGCATTTCTCGGGCCAGTTCGATATGTAAGAGCCCGGGGGCTCAACGCGAGACGCAAACGCCCGGTGCTAAATAAACACTGCGACCCCCAAGCTTCAAACAGGGCCACGACGACGAGAACCGCCGTGCTCAGACCCCCGGCGTCGTGATTTTGTCATCACGTGGGCCCCCAGAGGTCTGGGCCCATTCCCCGGGACTGGCTTTTCACCCGGAGGCGTTTTTGACAGCCCTGGGGCCCAGTGAGGGCACCCAATGGCCGAGTGTTAGCCCGCATGTTGAGCAATCTGTGTGGAGGGATATCTGCTTGCTGCGCCCAAGGAGCTGCTCCCCTCTGTCCATCGCCCAGTGCGCGGCACTCTGCTTCCCGACGCGGCGCCGAATTTCCTGATTGGCAGAACTTGCAACGGCTTCGACGAACTTCTCCTCCTGAAATCGTGCGTCGTCCAGAGACGTCGCAACGAGTTTCCTCTTCTCTCGCTCACCTTTGCACGCTGTGCAATCCAACTCGTGATTTGTGGAAATCCCCTCCTCGACAGCGCGCGTCTCCGCGCTGTGCGGCGCCACCCGCTCGCGACCTTGGCGCGTCCGTTGGCCTGGCATGCAAGACATCTCGCAGAAATTCGTCTTGCGCCCCAAAGAACCGCGCGTCCTGGTCTTCCGCGCGTTTGCACTCTGTCAACTCCGTCATCCCCAGCGCTG